ATTCCAGAGGAAATCCAATCTCAGGTTGTCTACCCTCCGGATGTGGAAAGAAAAAAAGGAAGACTACAAGAAACTAGATTTCCATCAGCTGGGGAATATCGAAGGAAGAAAAAGAAGAAGTATCCACCATTGGTGTGTGAGAATGATGGAATTGACAGCGATGAAAGTGGAAGCGATGGAAGTAGCAGCGATGAAAGTGGTCATGATGGAAATAGACACAATGGAAGTGGTCATGATGAATATGGACATGATGGAAGTGAGAACAATGAATGAGCTTGTGAGAACAATGAATGAGGTTTGATTATGTTTTTATGTATGTGTTATGGATGTTTTTATAAGTCGTGCATGTTAAAGTGTTTGCTACTCTTTGTAATGGTTGAATTCTGAATGTGTTGCTTCTGTCAGGTACTACTTGTATAACTGGTAATACTCCTTGCATTAGACAAAGTCATGACTATTTTGATGTATATGGTATAACTAGTATATCTGGTATAAATACGACATGTCATACTGGTATAACTAGCACAACTATTCTTTATATACCAGACTAGGAATATTCAGGTACGAAAATTCAAATATTCATTTCTGTTATCCAACTTAAAAATACATGCAAATGCTCAAATTTTTAAGTATTTAGATAGGTTCCATATGATTGGTAAGGTTTTTTTTCAATTCCAAACCTTATCTCCATAAGTTTTCATGATCTACATGATACTTTTAAGGTTTGTTAATTTGTTTGTCCCCATAATTTTTGGAAACCATACATGAAAAGTATTTTAACAACTGCGATGACTTCATTGTGTCTGGGCAAAGATAGTAGTCACATAAAGGATTGGTACAACTAAGATAAATGCACAATTTAGGTGGTACAACTAGTTTGATCGATTTAACTGCCAAAGTACAACTATGTACAAACATGTACATCTGGAATACTGGTACAACTACAACACTAGAATATCTACAAAACTAGTACAACTAGGCAACCGGTACAAATATGTTGTATCATGTTTTAAATGTTTTGGTGGAACATTATTCTCAAGTAGTTGTACTAGTTGTACCATTCTTCTGTATTTTGTGTGGTTTCAACGTGTTGTATTGCTAATACCTGAATATTCACATGTGCTTTTAAACTCAATACCATTTTTTTTTACAATCCAAATGAAACATAGGTTTTAACATCCAAAACCAACATAAATTTTAACATCCAAAATAAGCATAGGTTTTAACATCCAAAAGAAGGAAAAGAAGCATAGGTTTTAACATCCAAAAGGAACATCATAAGTTTTCAAAAGCTATTCCAAATAGCTCACTTTGGGGGATACTTTTCATAAGGAGACCTGAGTGAACGAGACGGTTTATGAGACCTCTTTGGCCTCTTATCCTCATCTCCAACCATCTCATCATCTACTACCGCTTCCTTCTCCTCCTCGCCAACATTATCCTCCTCACCAACATTATCTTCAGCAGGTAACTCAACAGCATCAGTCTTCTCAGCAACATTTTTTTCGAATTTTTCTGCAGCTTTTGTCATAACCTCATCATCATCTACAAGTTAAAACATAAAAATTAGACAACATAAAATTTCAAGTTTAGTCTAGCTATTTTCCAACCTTACCTTCCAGCATCGTCTGAAGTTGTTCCAAAGCCTCTTTCTCAGCATCATTCTCACCAATTTTCTCAACCTCTTCCTCACTTTCTTTCTCATCATCCTTCTCAGAATTTTCCTTGGCCTCATTCTCAACAATAGCTGCCTTCTCACTATTCTTCTCAGCATCATTGTCACCGATTTTCTCAACCTCTTCCTCACTTTCTTTCTCATCATCCTTCTCAGAATTTTCCTTGGCCTTCTCACTATTCTTCTCAGCATCCTTCTCACCATTTTTCTCTACCTCTTCCCCACCTTCAACCTCAACAATATCTGTCTTCTCAGCATGTTCTTCGTCCTCTTTCTCACTTCGTTCCTCGTCATCCTTCTCAGCATGTTCTTCATTCTCAATATCTACGATAAACAAAAATTTCAAAACCAATCCAAAACAAGTAACAATTTCAAATCAAATTACCTTTTCCTGAGCCTCTTGAAGCCTCGCCAGTGTAAAAACCACCAGACTGAAATGACCAATTTCCTCGTTCTTCCAACTCCTTTACTCTTGTAGATAGAAGACGGATTGTTTCATCCCTTGAAGCAAATCCATCTTCCATTATCTTGGTCAACTTCAACTCTAATTCTTTAAGACTCGGATTCAGAGTCTCGGTTTCCTCGAACTCACTTGCTTGCTGCTGTCCCTCAAAGATCTCATGAGGCTCGGATTCTTGTTGTGTGGTGGTAGGTCGGGTTCTCACATCCATCTCGTATAGATCCTCCCAAAATATTTTTGCCCCAAGATTTATGAGGATCTTGTTCCAAGTGTCGACAGCTAGGTCTGGCTTATCATCATCATGTTGTAGCTCAATGTCTTCCCATGACCCTTCATCCATGATATCATACAAAAGGTCTGGTTCACGATCCTCTGGTGTCAAAACACTAGAAATCTCCTGAAATATAAACAAACACAAATCAGACTTTAAGTTAACTATGTAAACTTGAAGAAAATAACAGAAACAACACATAAAATCTTATACCTTCGTCTGTCCAAGAGCCTTATAAATCTCATCCAATGCAAAACCTGTTGTCCCAGTCCTCTTGTACCTCCATTTGCACATTCTTGGGCACTGTCCGTGACTGTTTGGAACGGGGACTCTAAATCTATCCCTAAGGACAGGGATACATTCAAACGCCAAAATCTGCACGTCATTTCAAACACTCGTATTAGTTATATATTATAACATATATGCTTCTGAAAAAATCAAATAATTTACCTCCAAAGGATTGATAAACCCAGGAAATACCCACGCTGGTTCATCTGGGATCCCATCACTGAAATGATCCTTCAAGTGAAAAATCGATTTCATGCAATCATCAAACGTGAAACGGCCCCATGGAAACTCGGTGCAAAAATCAAGGTCTTCAACTACTTGGAGAAAGAAATCCTCAATGGGGTGTCCATATTTTCTCCTTCCTCTTATAACTGTGGCCAAAAAGTAAAGAACCGCCATCTTCAAACGCTCTTTACTATGATCAAACTCCATCGCCATAAGCTTCTTTTCCACTTGCTTGACTGTCACTCTAAGCTTCCCGTCTCCTTCACTCTTCTTCTTCTTCTTCTTATCATTTTTCTTCTCCCTCGGCTTAAAATGCCGTTCAGCAAACTTCATAGACCCTACCCTCCGATAATTTTCAGGGTACATGTGGCAGTATAAACCAGATAGGAGGGCATGCTCCCTGATGGAGTATCGAATTGGAACCCCATTTACCCCAAACCAAGCCTGTTGACCCTTTTCCGTAGTCATTGTGCGGAGAAGCAACATCCACATTCCCATCACTTTTCTTGTTTTGGTACAATCCATGTGGAATAAATGCTTGAACTGAGGGTGATTCTTGAACCAATCTTTCTCTGTCTGGTCAAAATCTTCAAGCAAGTCCACAAAAAAGCGTTGGTGGCACCTTGAGGAGAGCTTGCACACCTTTCCATAATCACTCGGCTTAAAGAAGAAACTAGCGGGTCTCATTGGTTCTTCGGCAATGTTCTCCTCCCCAACTTGAAAGCAAAATATTAAATTACGTAAATAACTAAGTCTGACAACAAAATATCACTTAGTTGTACCAGTTAGACTAGTTACACTTACTGAGTTGTACCAATTAGACTAGTTATACTATAAAAACTTAATGAATTGTCCTAGTCCTAGTTACACTAATAATAATTCTCTAGTTAAATCAGTTTTATTAATTAAACTAATAATACTGTTACACTAATAATAATTCTTTAGTTAAATCAGTTTTATTGATTAAACTAATAATATTGTTACTATTTGTACTAGTCAGACTACATATAAGTCACTTAGTTGTACCAGTTACACTAGTTACACTTACTGAGTTGTACCAATTAGACTAGTTATACTATACTTGAACCAAATGAGTTGTACTAGTAACACTTATAATACTTCTCTAGTTAAACCAGTTTTACTAATTAAACTTTTAATATTGTTACTATTTGTACCAATCAGACTACATATAAATCACTTAATTGTACCAATTATACTACTTAAACCATATGAATTGTACTAATAATATTTATATTATACTAGTTATACTACTAATTCAGATTGATTTGTTTACCATTCTTTCATTGTCATTGTCAATCGCAGGCTGAGGTGTGGATGCATCTCTGTAGTTAGACCCTATCTCCTCATCATTCTCATCTACACGATGTGAAGGACTTCTTGTAGAAGAACCTGAAATTGAAAATGAGGTTACTGGTGGTTGCAGTGGAGTTTCAACCTCACTTGGTGGCTGAGAAGGCAAATCCGTTCCGCGTTCATGGTCCGGTGGAGATGTGGTTTCTATCTCGCGGTTCCGACCCCGTTTGGTTGGGTTCGACGAGGATGCATCGTCATAACCTCCTCCTGGCTTCCTCTTTTTCACTGCGGCTTCATTCTTCTTTCTCGCGGTTTCACTCTTCTTCTTCTTCTTCGCCGCATCTTTCTTCTCCGCCTCTCCTTCGTTTTGTTTCTTTTCGCGAAGTCGCGTTTTTGGTGCCATGGATTTCGAATCAGATTCGAAATTAGACTTGTGTGATACAAAAGTGGAGTTGGAGAGATGATTGATTTCGAGTTTGATGATGAATTTCGAGTTCAAGAGCGATGAAGACAAATGGGAGATTGTTTTGTTTTTGGTGTCGACAGAAATCAATTGGGGATTTAGGGTTATTAGAAGTCGGGTCGGGTCGGGTTAGTGGTAAGTGATCCGATTAATGGGTGGGTCGGTAAATATATGGAACCTTTAAGATTTTGTGGTCTTTTCCCCAATTTTCGATTTATTTTTAATTCTTTTTCAAAATAAAAAAAGACATGGGTCTATTATAGATTTTTGAACTGCCGTTTGGTCCATTCTAGCATTTGATCCGATGTGTAGTCTCCTCTCCAAGTTCCGACCCTTCCTTCCTCACTCTCCGTCATCTCTCCAGCAACGGCGGAGGAGTCTCGCGTTTAGCAGCGCTCTTCCTACAACAAAGACGACGAAAGCAATAGACGCAGCGTTGATGAAGGAGAAATGGTTGGAGTCTCTCACTCTCCCCTCACCACCTCGGATTAATAGCGACTCGAGCTGTGTGATTGGGGTAGACCCAGACATGTCCGGTGCTTTAGCTCTCTTGAGAATTAACCACGTCTTGGGTTCTTCTGAAGCTCAGGTGCGTGGATAAACCCTAGATTAGGGTTTCTCCCTCTGAAAGAACCCTTGAAAATTGATTTGTGTGTTTGGATTTAAATTAGGTATTTGATACTCCTCACCTACCGGTTTTAGTAGGGACAAGAGTGCGGAAACGTTTTGATGCAAAGTCAATAGTTGAGTTGATTCGAAGTTTAGACATACCCTCTGGTAAGAAGATGATGATGATGTTTCTTTCACATTGTTGTCTCTTTGTTCCGTTGGAAGCAATTTGTGTGTTTTTGAACAATGCAGGAAGTACTGCGTTTTTAGAGCAATCAACTCCCTTTCCAAAAGACGGCAAACAGGTCAATAAATAACACTTCCTTCTTTGATTATGATATATTTTTTTTTTTCTCAATTACATGATTGTGGTTTGTGTGTGTTAGGGTTGGTATAGTGGAGGTTTTGGATATGGATTTTGGATTGGAACACTTGTCGCGTCAGGATTCTCGGTTGTTCCCGTTCCTTCAGCCTTATGGAAGAGGCATTTTCAACTTGCTGGTGGAAACTCCACAAAGGTGTGATTGAGAAAGTCTTATGATGTATTTAAAAATCAAAAATCTCAATTGAAAACAGAGTTTTTGATTATTATTTTTGGGTGGGGTGGTTACAGGATGATAGTAGACGAGTTGCATCGGAGTTGTTTCCTTTGCTTAGTTCGCAACTCAAGAGGAAAAAGGATCATGGTCGAGCTGAAGCATTGCTCATTGCGGCATATGGTGAAGCTCTTAAACCCACCACGCTTCAAGAATTCGCCTCCTCTGACTCTGAGGTTTACTGTTTAGAAAACTAGTCATTGCAATGTTTTCTTCACTATCAACTCTCATTAGTTTCTTATCAAACAGTTCTGATTTTTAGTCGATCCTTAACATTGTTAACTTGTTAGTTTTTGTATCTAGTTTTGATTCGGAATCAGTCTTTTTTAAGGACTGAAGTTTATATCTTAGTCTCTATGTTAACTTTAGACAGGTGAAATGTGAATGCTCCTCTTCATCTTTTTACTGATGTTTCTGTAATCACCACAAGTCATTGCAAGAACACTGAAACTGGTTATTGTCCTTTAGAACGGAGCATACTCTCAGTTTCTATTCAGATTGCTGTGTCTTTGTTTGAGCTAATGAGACCAAAGGCCATTGCAAGTTTCTCGCTGTCTCAGGCTCTCAGCTAAGCCTAAATCTCTTCTCTTGATCATCTACATCCATCAGAAGGCCTACTAAGGTCACCTACTTGGCCTAAAGTCACTAGCTCTTCGGCTAGTCCGATGTATATTAGAGCAAAGAAAAGTTATCAACGTCTTACAAAAAACAAATTTGTTATTTGACATTTCAGTATTGTATATTGAAAGCAAATGCCAGTATTAGTATTCACAATTGACTGAAATTATATAATATATTTCTTTTTAATAATGAAAACTTTTTTATCTGGACATATTAACGAAGACAAACAAAAAAAACAAAGCATTGCTCCAAAATTCAATCTGAAAGGCAAAAAACAAAAAAGATGAGTGGGCGAGGGGTAAAAAGGTAAATTTAGGGACCACGACCGGAGACAAAGCAGAAACAGCCAGGTCTTTGATCTTCCGGGATCATTCCGCCGCCTTTGGAGGTGTCGACTCCTTCAAGCATCTTCACGACTTCCTCCATCTCCGGTCGCTTCTCAGGATTAGCATCCCAACATTTTTTCATGATGCTTGACAATGATGTCGGACAACATCTCGGTATGTCCGGTCTCAGATTCTGTTTCAAAACCAAATCCTTTTAGACTAAACCGAAACCAAAACCAATTGAATTTTATAATTATAAAATCTACAAAAATAAATACTTTTACACACACACTAAACCGAACAAATAAACCAGAATTTATCATATATTAAAACATGTTTATTGGTATAATTAAATATGTTAACATTATTTCTTTACTAAAAACCGACTCGAGTCCAACTCTAATACCAAACCAACATGATAAAACCAATAAAACGCGATATAAACTGAAGAAATCAAACCATAACCGGTTTAATCACACCTACTAGTATGGATTTGTATGAAGTTTCACTAACCTGACGAACAACAGCAGAAGAAACATCAGCAAAGCTGAGATCAGGATATGGCATGTCACAACAATATATCTCCCACAAGCATATCCCAAAGCTGTATACATCGCATCTTCTGTTGTATGGCTTACCATCAAGAACCTTAATATAGAAGCATAAAATCAGATTTTGAAAACCATAAGAAGAATCAATCTTTAGTGTAAGATGTTATGTTAATTCTGTTCTATACCTCTGGAGCCATGTATCCAAGAGTACCAGTTTCACCAGTCATGTCCTTTGGATTCTGTGCTTCAACTCTAGCCACTCCAAAATCAGCTATCTTTAGATTCCTCTGATAATCCAAAAGCATGTTCTCTGTTTTCACATCTCGATGAACAATTCTCTCTGAGTGCAAATAACTTAGCCTGTCAAAAGAACATTCTTTGTGTCAAATTCATGAAGAATGAAACAAAACAGAATAAAAGAGTTCTGTTTTTTTTTTAAGTAGATTACCCTCTGGAGAGATCAAGAGCGAGCTGAACAACAACTTTAAAAGCGAGTTTCCTTCTCCTGTTACGGAACAAGAACTGCTTAAGAGTTCCACCAGGAAGATACTCCACAACCACACAACAAGCTCTCTGAGGCAACGAGTTCTCGTTCTCAGCTGATAATGGTATCTTCAGATTCGTTGTTCCCATTGATGCTCCAACAAACTGTTTATTCACTCCAAAACATTCATACACAGAGAGAAGAGTGATCATTGATGATAACACCATAAAGAGGTTACCATTTACCTTTGTGACATTAGGATGGTTAAGTTTATGCCAAACCGCAACTTCTTGTCTAAACGAAGCACGTAGAGCTGATGTCTCAGCAGCTGTCGCGTAACCATCTTCTCCCCAATCAAGCACTTTCACTGCCATTTCTCAAAACACTAAACAGTTAACACAGAAGCATATAATATATTCACAATCTCTAAACATATAGTTAATTGAGTTTTTTTTTGTTGTTGTTGGGACCTGCAACGTCTTGACCATCATAGATGCCTTTGTAGACAATACCATAAGCACCACGAGCAATGACATTCCTCATCTCCAACTTAACCAATTCAATCTCCCACTCTTCCTTAGGCTTTGGATTCTTCTCGATGTTTCTTGACCAAACCCTACTCAGATGTTTCTCCAGCTGAATGTCCAGATGCTTCAAATCGATCTTGTCAGCTCGGAAAATCATGTCTTTCTTGCTGTTGTTCCCAACAGCTACTCTGCTTCTGAGGTTGTTTTCCGGTGTAGCTTTTGTCTCATTTGTTGGTTCCATTTTTTTTTTCGTTTTCTTTCTTCTAAAGTAATCTCAGACACACAGAGAAAAAGAGACACAACACAACTCAAAGAACCCTAAACAACAATCACCAAACAAGATTCTGACATAAGCTTTCTAAAACTAATCAAAATTTTCATCATTATCAAATTGTTTTTTTAGAGAATTTAGCAAATATGTTAAACAATAATCCTGTCCGAAAACTTAAATTTATTTTTGTAAGAAAAAATGTTTAAACTATTACACCAACCCCAAGTTGCACACGTTCTTCTGACATCCAGATTCTAATATGACATGAACATTTTTTTTAAACAATTTTTTCACAAATAACAAAATTCCACAAACAGAAATTCTCTTCAATAATAGCGTTGAAAATCAAATAAAAAAGAAATCAACGAAGACAATTAGAAAAAAGTAAACCCTAAGAAACCGACTCGTCCACCACTATATTACCATTGACCAAGATTATTATTATTAAAAAAAAAAATCTGAATTTTCTACAATATCAAAAACCCAGAAAACGTCACTAAAATTCAGAGATCAGACGTAATCAAACATCCACTAGACCATGCAAAGAAAAAAAACATCGACAAGATCGCTAGGAAAAGAGATTCTTTCTTCCTCCAAGAAAACAACCCCAGAGAGATGGAAAAAAAAAACAGAGGATCGTTTTGAAGGAAAAGAGATCTGAGAAAGGAGAAAGAGAAAGAAGAATCTAAGAAACGATGAAGGAGAGGCGGAGCGTGAAAGACGGAAAGAAAGAATGGCTTTTGATTTGATGTCAAAGCTGGTTTTAAGGAGACGTATTTGCTATTTGTTTCTACTCAGAGAAAAATCTTTGGCCCCATAAGGCCAAAAATATTCACCTTTACTCGGGAAAAGAAAATATTCAAAGACATTTACATGTACGTAGACCACTTTTGTGTAAATATATTTATTTGTTTTAAATAATTTGAAATTGTCTTAGACCACCCGCAACAAGGGGTCCTTAGGGAAAATCTTTAAAAAAAATATTAATTTTATATGGGTCCTATGAACAGTTAAGGATTTTAAGAATAAAATCCTTATGTAAGGATTGATTCGGATGAATCCTTACACTATTCATGGGCTCCACTGTCCACGTGTCGGTCCACGATTGGTCAGGTTTTTTTATTTTAAAAAAATAATCTGAAATATCCTTATATAATCTAAAATACCCCTTTTTATTTTTTCCTAAGGATTACTTGTTGCGGATGCTCTTAGCCTTACTTTATTGATTTGTTTAGTCCAGAGTATAATTAATCCGGTCTTTTTGTCGGAGTTCTTGACTCATGATTTAATTTTATATTTATATTTTTCGATTAAAATTACTTTTATACTTTTATTTAAAAACAGTTTTTAACTTTTTTTAATTAGAATTTTAATAAAATTTAAATATCGTTTTTTATCCGAAATTAAAAACTTCATGAAGAGATTCTGGATAATTAATGGAAGGTATTATGTATTAACATAAATGATAAGAGATTTGCTTTCTTTTTGTAGCTTTTTCTTTTAATATTCTTTGTAAGAATTCTAAATGTTCAGTCTGATAAATCTAACAAACCAATCGTTTGTATTTGATTTGACTATACCAAATAAAATTGTAGGCGTGCTTTAAACCCGTAGTATATATACCGCCACCAAAAACCAAAAATGATTATTTAATTATTTACAGTTGATGTGTTCTTATAAATCAATAGAAAAAGTCTACAATTAAAAATTAATAGTCAATTAAATACAATATTAATAATCAAATTTTTGTCAACTATTAATAATCAATTAAAATTTTGATTTTTGATCGAACTCTAATTTGCATCGTTGGAAGAAAAACAATTATACATGAGAAAAAAGAAACATAATACATGTTAGAGTTAGCTAGCTAGATTAGAAATTTAGAGACATGTTATTAGACTTTTTTTTCAACTGTTATTAGACCATGTGTATTGCATGTCCGTTAAGTTGGATCTCTTCGCGTATGTTCTATTAGTTTTTAATTAAAAATGTTAAGGGACGTGCTAGGGATTTAAAGAATGTCCTTTTGTTATTTAAGGGACATTTCTTAACATCTTATATATTAAAACAGAAGTCATGACTTGAATTCATGTGTGATTTTTTTAAAAATGGACTATTACTAGAAAATTATGTTGCATTTATTCTCTAATAATCTTATCACTATTATATCTTATGAAAAATCATATCTATAATAAACAAAGATACACTTAACAATTTGGTTTTGGTAAATTACCCACCTTCCAACTTAGTCACGCAAAATATGTCAATAGATATAAGTTTAGGAATCTTCTATTATTTATAAGTAAATATGTCAATAATAGTTAAATGCATCCACAATATATTAACAAAAATCACAGATTATTAATATGAAATATTTATATACCCTAACAAAATTTACACGCTATATATATTAGATAAATTTATTCCGATGTAAATTTTTAAAATTATATTGTTTTTAAATTTTTTTTTGTAAAAATTCTTTTTTTAATAAAATACTTTATAATATTAATTTATAAAGTTATAAGTTTAGTTTTTAGCAACAAATTCTTCGAAGTTTATATTATCTTTGCAAATTAAAGTATACTAATATTTAATCAAGTTCTATTTATATTACTTTATCTAAAATGAAATACTACTCTAACAAACAATAAAATATAGAAGAAGAAACAAACACATGTTTGAAAAACATGTATAATATAGAAAATTTGAAACAATTTATTTGATTAAAACACTTATTATATAATATTATTATGTTTGAAAAACATTTACTATACATATCGTAAATATGTGATTACTATAATATATATATCACTTTACAAGTGAAAACAAAATGTTTATATAACTAACTATAAACGAAAACAAACACCCGCGCGGTTAGGCGGATCAAAATCTAATTTTTATTTTAAAACTAAGGGACCATACGCTAAAAGATCCGACTTGAAGAATCTGCAATAAACATGATTAGGCTATCAGCTAGTTAGACAAAGATAATATGTACCGATGTACTTTCCCCGTACCGAACCGAATGTTTTGAGGATTCTTAAATTCAGAAGAACAGAACACACGTGTTACAAAAGTAAATTCCGTGTTACCGTACTAATATTTCTGTGACCAAACGAGAACTATTTTTCCTGTAATCATTTATTTGTTTAAGATGCATTCTTTCTGTTTTTTTTTTTGTGTGGACGATGCATTCTTTCTGATTAAATACCTATATATCCCCTATATATTAGTTAATGATCATTTAAAAAGTTGTAACGTTAAATTTGTAATAATTAAATAAAAATTCATCATATGTGGTAGTTATCTATATCTTTTAAATTATATTTAAAAAAAATTCTAAAGCACCTTATATAAATCATAGTTTTAAAATAGGTACGTTAATCTTATATAAAAGATATCAAACTAAATAACATATCAACTAAATCTCATATATATTATTTCCTTAAATAAAACATACAGAATTAATTAATGTGATGAAGATATATATGACTATTAATGATTTTAAATAATAAAAATTTGTTAACAATTTGTATACTTTATATAATTTATGTATAATTTTTTATTATTATAACAAATTACACAACTACACTATTCATATAATAAAAACTTAGATTTTTTATATTTTATATATGTAATTTGAAATTTTCACAACGAGTAGATTACTAAAACTGTTTAAAATCCCACATAAACTTTAGTGATCAAGATCTATTTTTTTCTATAATAAATTACAATGATAAAAAAATTAAATGACTAAATAATTTTATTTTAATAGGTGTTTATGTTAATATATATATATATATATATATATATATATCTCATATCGTATGAATAATAATTTTATTTTAAACACAATTATAATTTAAAATTTAACATTATTTTTTAAGAAAATTATGTTTTATTTAAAAATATAATTTTCTGATATTAGTAGAAAAATAAATAAATATATTAAATTAGTTTGAAACTATATATATTCTAAATTTAAATATTATACCAACTGCTTCTTAAGAAATCATTAGAGAACTTGCTAATGTACTACCAATTAAGCCATATGACACTCGAACACTGAAAAAAGAAAAAAATATATAAACCGGACCCATTAAATTCTAAGTTTTGATCTATAGTTCTAATTACTATTGTTTCTGATCCTACGTATAGATAATTATATAAAAATTTCAAAATTCCAAATACATAAAAAACAATCATATATAAATTTTAGATTTGTCAATACTAAATTTTATATTTTAGTTACATACATTAACTATGCATAAGACACATGTTTTATCCTAGTATACCTATGTTTGTGAATCCACGTTTTTTAACTAGACATTTATACTGAAATAAAAAGCTCAATAATCAGTTACCCAATTACGAAGGTAAAATAATACAAAGCAGGTTTCATACGTGTCTTATAAGTTGATACAAAAAACAGGTTTCATACAAAAAACAGGTTGCACACTGTTATTAGGATAAGGTTCGCGCTTTGCGCAGAGTGAATTTAAAAAAAAATAAAATATAAACATTTAATTAAGAGAAAAAATTGATATGTTGATCGATCTGTAAACTAAATAGAATTTAAGATTGTTTGTATAATCATTTATAAATAGTGGAAGAATAAATTGTAAGTTTCGTGGATCTTACTTTATATATTATTCATTCGAGCATTTGTTGTATATGGTGAAATGATATAAATAAAATTATATTTCATTTTCTTTTCCTAACTTTTTATATAAGATCTGTGTAGGATAAACATTTTATCTACAAACTATATATATACTATTATTTATTTTATATTTTCTACATAATATGAAATAATAAATAAGAAATATATAGATTGAATAACTGAGAACTCAATCACTATTACGTATATAAATAATTTGGTGCGTGTAATTAAATCAAACGATCACTCTTATGTATTAACAATTATTGTATGGTAAATAAATCGGAACCATCAATTTTATCAATCGTATATTAGATACAATTAAATTGAAATGACACTAACAATATCTATAATATATTTTTAATATGGAGGTTTAGTAAATGAAATTTCTCATTATAAGGTTTTATGATTATCAATATATTTTTATAAAAAAAGGTTTGAACCGCTAAAAATTGAATGCAAATTTTAATATTAAAATATTAAATTCTCAAAATATAAGTATGTATATTTATATGGTATGTATTAATATAAACATATTAAATAAGACTTTTTCCTCGTGTATTTTATAATTATTTGTATCTTATTATAATAAAATTTTAAACTATTGATCACAAAAAAATTATTTGAGACGTTTAATAGTTTAGTAATTTATACTCGCTTTAAAATTTTCAAAATAGAATATATACAAAAATATAAATATTGTAGTTGTGTAATTGATATTAATAACTAATATTTAAACAAAAATGGTATAAGTACAAATTGTTAGCAAATATTTACTACTGAAACTATTAATTGTTATATATATTGTAATCACATTAGGTAATTCCATAGCTTTTGAGATTGATAAGATATGCAACCAACATCTTTATACTAAATATATGTTTAAACTATGGTATATATAAAGTGTTTTAGAATTGTGTTAAAATAAAGAGATATGCCACGTAAGATTGAAGTTATTTTTAGTTAATACAGTTACAATTTTTAATTGATTCTCAATTAATATGTAGGGTATGTTATAATCTAAATCTCTAGAATATTATACGTATGGTAATTATATATGATATAACATCTACTCTA